GTCGAAAAATCCCCAGGAATTTTTCGGGATGGTCTTTTGTTTCTCACCACCCAACCGCTTCATTGTGGGCCTGGCCAAACCCATAATGGGCTTGCTAAAAGAGGCCCTGTTAGTGCCCACAGAGCGGAAAGAGTTAAAAAATAAATAAATAAAGATAACCGCACTTGTAACCGTTACTCATAGGGGCGCTAAAATCGTTCTATAGTTAGCTGAGCTAATTTTTATTATAAAACGAATAGATTGAACTAACACAGAACATAACTGTTGTCATATAATATTAAAACTGAAAAACATCTATATAAAATTAAAAACACCTTAATAGTAAAATTTTATATACAAAACTTTTCTTTTATATTAATGTGAACGTTTTTTAAACGACAAGATGGCAACTTAATGTGGCGCGAGTTACGACGGCATTTTGTAAAAGGAATGGCAAGTGAAGTTTTGTTTTAATTTTTAATATATTAATAATTTCCGAATTAAACAAATGTGATATTTACAATAATAAGGAGTTATATCAAATTGTTTATTTAAGTTACAAGAACTTTAAGTCCGTATTAAAAGTAATTTTTCATTGCTATATATCAGGTATTTGTTTATATTATAACTTTATTTGCTATATTTTAAATGTAACATTATAACAAATCATCATTTACAAATTATGTTGAATTTTAAAATAATATATAGTTAATGTTTAAGTTAATTAATAGTAATGTTTGATGATGATCAGCATGTCACTATTGACGATTTTGTTGTTGAAGGGGAAATCACAATCGGTAACACCACCTTTTAGCGAAGACAAATTTATAGTTCAGTTACAGCATGAAGATGTGGTGGTAGAGCTCTGCTGTATATATTCTGCTACAGCTGTCGTATATGTGAAATTATAGGCCTAAATTGTTAATAAATGATGAACATTTTGGATTTATCTCTATTTTCAAATACTTTTATGTTCTATATCCTGTATCTCATTTTATGATTGTAATTTTTAATTTTCTGGCTATTATATATTAAAGTGAATGTATGGAGATCGGTCAAAATATGACCTCCCTGGATCATTACATTTTTGGATTTGGGATCTAAAATTGTTGAGAAATGCAAAAAGTTTGGGGGATAATTTCTATATATGTGGATGTGTGTGTGTGTGTGTGTGTGGGGGGGCATGATTTTGTTCATCCTCTTTGAAGCTTAATAACTCCCATGCTTTTTGTCAAAATTTTTTGAAATTTTGCAGGGAGGTTTGTTATTAGGTAGGGTTGCCATACGTCCCATATATACAGGACTGTCACGGTATTTCACTACTCAGTCCTGTATTACTATTTGTTCCATTTTTGTCCTGTTTTCTCCCTAAACTCTGCGTGAAGTGGTTGGGCATCACTGCACCCCAGATCTCTCAGTCAGTCTCAACTGTTGGAGTTCAGTGAATGCTAATTTATTTTGTGTGTATATAATAAAATAAATACACCTTGCCAAGAACTATGCATCCAAACCAAGGATACTTTTGATGAACTCATCCCTGTTGTTGCAATGGCTTACAGCTGCAACTAACCTACTGAGTAGTTTCTTTCTGTACTTCAGTTTTACTGCCTAGATAATGACTGAACTTTGCTTGTTAGATTAGATGATAGAAAGCATAAACATACATGACGGTTTGCCATCATAATGACTAGTAGCATTGTGTACAAAAATTAAGATCTTGCAATTGTTTTGTTTCATGGTACAGTTGAGATAATGCAACCACTCTAAAAAGAGCACTGGCCATCCACAATTGCTTGTTGTGATGCCAAATAATGGGAAGATTTTGGAGCTTGACATGATGAACTCTAAATGCCTGAGGGTATGCTGCATTTTCTATAAAAAAAACACTTCAGCTTCTCATCTCTTGCATTACAACAGAACATTACCATTAAGCCATTCTTTGCATTTTTTTCCTCCTTTACAGGCATTTCTCTATTAGCGATTGAATTGGTAATGGGCAAAAGTAAAAGCCTGTTTCATCTGCATTGAAAATGTCAGTCACATCACAATCCTTTGTCAAATTTCCCAGATTTTTTCCAGTCCTCTGCAGCAGCTACATTAACACCATCTGAGTTTCCACAGATAACACTGAAAGCAATAAGAAATATTGTTTCTATCTTAGCCAGTCATTACTTTCAGCAAAGTCATTAAGCTACATACTTTCAGCAAAGTCATTAAGCTACATACTTTAGCAATTTCTTTTGCACTACTTTGGCATTGGCCCACTGGTATGCCTTCTGCTTTTCTTTTACTGGTATGGAAGAATTCTATTATTTTTGCATTCAGTTTATCATACTGTAAATGCTGTATGCACTTGTTTTTAACTGCAGTTGTTTTCTCACACATCCATAATTGCAGCTCTATTTCTCTTTATGTCTAACACTTAATTTTAAAATGCCACAGTCAGCTGCAATCTTTCTACAGTTGTGACCGAAAGGTCAGCACCACATCAGGATGCCTACGTCAGGACTGACACCACTGCATCTTTAGAGACACAGAACTATGGCCACCAGGTTATTGCTTTACGCAAGTGGCTAAGTATATGGGCGATCAGATTCTGGATGGAGGAAGTTTAAGAGACAGTGTGATGAAAGGAATACACTCTACAACAAGTTAAACAACAAATATCTGTTTATTTACATATAAGGTTATATATTTCCAACTATAATAGTGATGCATTTACGAGTCTAAATTGCAAGAGAGAGAGAGTGTGTACACTTGGTGCAAGGTGATAAATATCTGGGGATGTTGGTTTCTTTTCCTTGGAGTTTGATCACTTGATAGGAGATGGCTGGCTTGTTTGATAGGAGGTCATCATAGTTTAATAGAACACACTGACAATATATAGATAGGTAGATGAATACGGTCAGACAGACTGGTAAACGGTACGTTGGCAGTGATGACTGGATAGGCAGCAGTGTGTGTTGAATCCTTGAGTGTAGAGATTAGTTGCAACTCTTGATGATGACAAACTCCTTTCTCATCATCTGATTCTCTCTTTTATTTGGGGCTCCTCCCCTTTAATTCCCATGCCCATCTTTGGTAATGTCAGGTTCTTAATCCAATAGACAAATTTTAGGTGTTAGGTTCTTTGTGAATTCATTCGGAGGATGTGTCACTTTTTGAAAGGAAGTGAATCTGAGAAAGATAAAATCATTTCCTGCAATCTTTATGAGTGTGGGAAAGAAATTTTCTTAATAATTTTAATGTACATGTATAATTTTTTGATGTTATTCTTTTGAATACTATTTTTTTTAAAATTTATGTCTAGTCCACACACTCACACAGTTGTATCTTCTTTCTAACAAATCAATTATGTCCTTCTGGTCTATTTGCATTTTTCACTGGATGTTTGCCCCTTGGGGTTTAAAAACAAAACTATTTTATTTGGGTCATTAGAAATATTCTTGTTATATTGTCAGCAATTCAATAGCAATAGCAGTATTCTGAATAGCAATAGGAAAAGCAAAACTTTCTGTTACATTCCAAATTGAAATTTCAAAGCCATATGGGAGTCCGATATAAGTTTTAACCCATTCCCACATGAACAGATGATTCAGAAATTAGAATTTGGAACTCAAAAATGTAATTGACAGAAAGAATGGATTTGACTGTTAAGAATTGGCAAAAATGTTTTCTAATTGTCCAGCTTTACTTGAACAAGTTATGCTGTCAATTTTATAAGATTTTTCCTTAAAGTTTAAAATGCTAGTAATTTTTGTGGGACTGATGTCAAATCTGATGTTTGAACACAAATATGTATAGAATAATCTCACTCATTTGTTTCAATAATACCACATAAAATGTCCTTCTAGCAATAATTATTATTGCTAGCAGGACGCTAGCAATAATAATAAGTCATTTTATATGCTATGATATATGCTGGTAGCTGCTTATTGAGATATTTTATAGAAGGAGAATAATTATTATAAAAATCTTGATAAACAGCTACAAGCAGCATATAACATTATATCTGACAGTAATATATGATTAATTTTATGTTGATTAGTTATAAGCAACCCAGATAAAGTAGCCATTTTGTAGAAGTACAGTGCCCTCTATAGTTCATGAAAAAATGCAAATAGTATGCTCAACTAGCTTCCATATGCTCCTCATTTTGTATCATACATATGAAAGTAAGGTTAGTGAGGATTACTTGTGACACTAGTGAACAATATGGACTTAAAATCAACATGATTATTGTGCTTGGTTGGCTTGTATGTATATACTGTATGAATAATGTAAACATTTGGTTTTTGACAGTGTTTTACACAATTAGATTAACAGTTATGCTTGTATTGTTTACTGGTGTTAACTTATAATGATTTTAAAATAGCATGTTAACTTTACTTTCCAGAACCAGTTTTCAGGTGGTGCTTTAAAATATATGGATGCTTTTAAATCTGTAATATGTGGTTAAACCTACAAAACAAATTTTAAAAAATTCATAAAAAATTTAATTCAAATAAGCTTTAAAATATTGTATTTGTTATTAACAGTAGATTTAAATAAATTGTCTTATGAATTATGATAATATAGTACTGAATTAATTTAACGAACATAATCCATTCCAAGACTTTGTTCGCTATCTGATTATTGATATACCATAGGTTTTTATGGGAATTTGATTAATTTATTCTGGAAACTCCAAAAATTAAAAAAATATATATTTTCTTATTATGTTTATTTATATGTAATAATAAAAATACGTATATACACAGTCTTGCATTTTTATTANCGCTCGCGTAGCTGCCACCGTTCGCTCGCGTCGTCACGTGACACGTCGTCTCCAAAGCGGTCCGGTTTCGAGGCTAAAACAGGAAGAGCCGCCATGATGGTCTACGACCCTGGGCATTAACCGTTTAGCAAAATGACAGGCTCTTAACATATTTAAGCATATCTTAACTATTGTCTACCAGATTTCGTTGTAGTTATTGTGTTACATCATTTCTTGTCTATATCATTTTAGCAATATCTATTACCTGTTGATGTAGCGGACTTGGAATCCACGTCTGGAGACTGTTCATCGTTAGACAATTTCATTTCAAACGTTAATTCTTCCGGAGACGACATTTCAAATAGATACGATATGATTAAAAAAAATAATAATCATTAATTAAGAGGGAGAGGAAAAAAGTTGCGCTCATAAAATATTCCTATTAATTTAACAATTTCTTTCACAATTTTGAATTCTCTTCATCACAACAAAAAAAGAAAGTTAAAATTAAGATATCGCTTAGAGTAGTGGCCTACCTTATTAATGACAATGTAATCAACAATAAATTTTAAATACGAATTGTACTGATAACATCCATTAACCAACTTAGTGAAAGCGTAAATGAACCATTTCAAAATTTATTTAAATATTTTTGCGTCCGTCTGTTAAAAAATGTATATAAACAAAATATTATCACAAATAATTTCTTACATATTATTAAGATACGTTAAAAATTAATATTTATTAAACGATTTAATTTTTTGCCAATCGTTTATAATAAAAATTATTATGCATATGTAAATTATTTAAATAATAAATATTTCCAGGAAGATACCTAAGGTAGAAAAAACTAAGGCATATTACTTCCTTCCTGCACCCATCTGTAAAGCTTTATGGCTCTGCTATTGAGTCAGACCAGACCAGAATAATCAGCTATACAAAATATGATAAAAATAATAATTTAATACTGTCTGGGAATATAGTATATGATTTGAATAATATGATAACTTTGTGTAAGTTTTTCACAGAATATTAACGAAGTTTATACGTACCATAATCCAGAAAGATGCAAAGTTTCAAATAAGAGTAAAAATTATCCAGTTCATTGCGATCAAAATTTGAAAAACATCGAGAAAGGAGAGTCACGTAACTACAGAATTTACGTAGTTTCTTATCCATATCTTCAGATTCGCTAGTAAATTCTTCGCATAAAAATTCTTGATATGTTTCACGGCAGAGAGAGAAGTCTAATAAAACTAATTTGTACAGATTGGATATATACACATCAATCTACATAGAAAATCTCTGTATAAAAATTCAGAATATTAAAGAATAAGCAAAAAAGGGAAAAAATTAACTTACGAATGTAGTTAAAGGAAGAGTCTGCCAATTAATATTATTTAGCACAAATTGTGTGTTTTTTAGAATCGTGTGATTTAGATGAACTCTCAGAAGTTCCCATTTGGGCTGCTTATCAAATAATGAATCAACAAACGTCTGAAATCAAGGAGAATTAAACAGGAATGTAAAAAATCCAGATAAACGGTAACAAGTTTAGATATAATTACATCAAGGGTTTCATCCTCAAATTTTTTTGATTGATAGATTAAAGTTTTTGCCATCGTAAGTTTTTTAGGAATATTAAGAGAGTAGTGAGCACTCTTATAATAGGGAGGTTCGAACGAAGTTTCTTCTGCTTTTGGCTCTGCTGCTTCTGCAACAGATGAAGCAAATAGTTAAAAAAAAGTTAAATTTTAGAAATATTTTTTGAAATGCTTATACTTCAGTGAAAATATATTGTTTTATCTTACCTTCTATTTCGGAAATGATAAATCTCATCTCTGAAATATCGAAACGGCCTGATGCAGACACACAATGAACAGGAATTTTTAAAGAATAAGATCTATTTTCTATTTTAGGCAATTGAACTAGGAAATAAGAGAAGGAAAAAATTAATAAAACGTAAAACCAAAAATTTGACTAAATTAAAGTTTACTTTTGTATTCATCAGATGTTTTTATGGGACGATCTCCGAGACAATGATCGCAAAGAAAGAAGGTATACATTTTAACATCTGGAATTTTTTTGCTTGCTGCAGCAGCACCTAGGGGGAAAAGCATATTAAGATACTATTGTAATTAATAGTAGCAATTAAAATTTCAGAAAGAGTATAGCTTAAGATGCACGAATTCAAGCTAACATTTGAGAAGAGAAAGTTTACACAAATTTCTACATAACATATAATCTAATCAAACAGATCCTTTTTAGGATTTATGTTATTAGTGAAATAACCTTTCACTATTACTATTCATTACTATGTTTAGTGAAATAATAATGAAATTTTTTTATAGTTTTGCTAAATTTCTCTCATTACTACTAAATGTCATGTCGCGAAATCACGAGGTTAGTAATAGTGTGTTCTATCCGATTTAGTAGGCTAACAATTTTACAACAGAAGAATTTGAAGTTTTGCCAACTTTTGCAGATAGAACTAAATTTTCACGCAAAAACCTGCCTCTCTACTCATAAAAATGACAGAACAACTGAATAATGATTGTCCAAACAACAGATTAAAAAAAACCAAATACACATAAAACTCTCTGGTTCTCATCTCATAAAACGTCAAATTTTTGTTTAAAGATTATTTGCATTAGCCATAAATTATTATTAAATTATTATTATTTATTGTTTAGCGGGTTAATGTCCAGGGTCGTAGACCATCATGGAAGTTCTTCCTGTTTTAGCCTCGAAACCGGACCGCTTTGGAGACGACGTGTCACGTGACGACGCGAGCGAACGGCGACGGCTGTCATGGCGCCGGCGCTGATTCCAGCAAACAGTGGGGACGCACGTTCTAACCTAACCTATTCTAATAATATAAATGGTAATAATTATGATAATTTATTAGAATAGGTTAGGTTAGGTTAGAACGTGCGTCCCCACTGTTTGCTTTTTTGGTACAAGTCGAGATACGTAGACTGTCATGGCGGCTGATCGCCGATTCCAGCAAAGACAAGAAAGCAAACAGTGGGGACGCACGTTCTAACCTAACCTAACCNTTTTTTTAAAACTTATTTAGATAATTTTTTGAAATTTTTGTAGATTTTTAAAAGTTTTATTGAGTATAATTGTTAGATCTAATATAGAGTAAAATTTGTTACAGCAAGACATAAATAAAAATAATTTAGTGCGCTCAGGATGAAAGTGCTAAAGGGATGTATAAATAAAACTGTGTACTCAAATGGTATTGTAATACTAAAATATTTATTGTTATGTTAAATATTTACTTGCAGAAAAAGTTTATGTAAACTTTTGTATTTTATAGTACTGAAGAGGGACCTTTTTTAAAAAAGGACCGAAATGCATCTATAGTAACAGAATAAAGTGAAATCATTGGCTAAAGCTGTGTGATAGTCTACCGCCAATATTAAAATTTACATTTTAAGTGCGGATTTACAAAGACTTTACAATATATATATAACAGCAGTCATAAGAAATTTAATTAAGACATCTTGTCTGTAGTTTACGTGTTACAGAGAGTTGCTGTATCACTAGAGATGTCTATGTCACAATTGAAGATTATATGAACAACTAACCAAGTTTGAGAGGGTGATTGACAGAAGCTGGATGATCATCTTGCCAAATAACCCATCACCTACGCTGTTCTGACATACTGTGAGGAGATGTTGGGACCAGTGGACAAGAGAGAGTTTGCACATATGGCACCCAGGTGTAGGGAGCCCTCAGCAAACCACAGCCCTTATCCTCCAACAAGCACACACACAGCCAGCCATAACGTTGTCTGTCATCTGGACACAGGTGGTGTCATCATTACAGGCTCCTTGTCTGTCCGTACCATTTTGAGATGCCCAAGTGAGGAACATTTGGTATTGCAGCAGCCATTAAGTGTGCTGCCTTTGACACCATCCACTGTTGCCTGTTTGGAGTGGTGTCACTCCTGATGGAATTGGACTGCAACAGAATGGAACCAGATCATCTTCAGTGATGAATCCAGATTCAGTTTTGGCACTGATGACAGCTGTATTTGTGTGTGTTTGGGCACTGATGGGCTATGTTGTGTCCCTTGGAGAACTCCTCAGTCCTACCTATACTTTGGAGCATCACGTAGCCCCCACAGCTGGTGTAATGGTCTGGGGTGCCATCACATATGACTGCTGGTCACCTGTAGTAGTAGTCTAAGGGACCATGACAATCCAGTAGTATGCTAGTGACATCCTGCATTCACATGTGTTGTATCTCATAGCAGGCCCTTATTCTGGTCACTTATCTCTCGTCTCTTCTTTCAAGGACAAATGATGTTAAAACGAGAGACGAAATTCATCTCTCAGGGACAGTGGTGATTCTGGTCACTTTTAACAATCTCATCTTCGTTGATGACATCATAATTCTACTAGGTTAGGGGTCGGCAACCTGCGGCTCTTTAGTTCCATATGCAAATATTATTTTTTTTATCAAAAAAAAAAANCCCCAAGCCTATTTACCTCAATCTGGTTTGGATGCCATTCTAAGACTATTGTTCTGACATTATCTCACTTCTTCAAAAGATGTTTAAGAGCAGATATTGGCATTAATCCTTTTTTCAGAAGAAAATATATCTCGCCAAGTTTCTTGGTGTTCTTCTGTCGTCAGATCCGTTTCAGGTTCCATTATGAGCGCTTCAATGTTCTTTATTTCTCAGATTTGTGACCAGAGGGTCGGCACCTCTTTAATGCCTCATCAGGACTGACACCACTGTCTTTTCTAGAATAGACACAGAAACCTTAATGGCCGCAAATTTGGAATTTGTGCGAGCGGTCACATGCATGGGCAATTGGATTCGGGTTGGCGGAGGATTGAGAGACAGATCGGAAGTGAATCACTCAGATACAAGGTTAACAACTAAAATAACCAATTTAATTTAACAAAAAAGGAATACATAGCGCTATGCTGTCGAATAACAGTCAAGAGAGAGAGTTTACATGAAACTGCAAGTTGGTATAGCTATCTTTGATGCACTTAATTGTGTGGATTTTCGGATTGCTGACTTTCAGTTGGTTGGAGAGGTGTTAATTTTCCTTTTCCTTGGACGGCGGTCAAACCAATGGAAAACTAGAGGATATAATAATTCAGGGAGTTCGAAGGTGTCAAAAAACACAGTATGAAATCCTTGATAGCCTGGAAAACAACCATACCTCTCCTTTTTTTTCAGGGCACTTGGTTGATGTGCTCATGAACTCTTGATGACTCCTTGTCCTTGAGTTATTCTTTTTTTTTACTTCCAAATCACATTATCCTTTTTCACCAATTGAGAATTTTTGCTCTTAATTTCCAGTGACACATTCAATGAGTTCCCTGGGAAAGGAAACAACTCTGGAGAGATAGATGCGATCATTCTCTGGTAATAAAAATGGGAAAAATTTTTTGAAAGACGAAAAATGAATTTTCTCTCAAAATTTTCAGGTCCAGTCTCTCACAAATGAGATTTTTGTTACTCCTTAATCTGCTTGAGTCTTCTTGATTATACTGTATCTTTCTTAGATAAGATTGAAATGCGGCCTACTGTAGACCTGTTCAAGCCGTACTGCCCAGCAATATCAGACATCATCTACCCACTCTCTACCTTTG